AAATCCAGAATGACCAGGGCCATCATATTTTCAACATGTAAATATCTAGCAATAGTCAAATTTTCAGCATTCAAGTAATCAAATCTGTCTAACAAGTACCATGTAGAGTTGAGACCCATGATATCAAATACTACAAAAGTTACAGTAAAATATACATTGGATGGTGTTCTTAGCAATGACAGACGAAGCACAAACTGCAAAAACAAAATCCTAGTCTCATTGGCTCTTATGGAACCATCAATGCATTTACCGCACAACTGTACTACAGCTTTCTTTGTGTTGATTATTGAATCGTAAGCCACATTTGCAAACCATTATTGCAGTTTAGTTTTCAAGATTCAGCCATTTGAGTTTTTGAATGCTGGTTTTGTAGAAGGATGATGTGACAGACAACTTGCAGTTGCCTTGAAGGTTGTACATGTTTGGCATGACTTTAGAAATCAAAGACCCAACCACTATTTTAAGCAACAACTTTCCTAGGAAAAGCTTTCAGGTTCCAACTCAACCTAACAATAAGATTAATTATAACTAGCCGTATTATTCTGTTTCAACATGCAAGTCAATAACCACATACCAGCCGGAAATGGTAGTCATACAGGAGTCGTGGACATGGGATGCTACCTACCAGTATATGCTGTCTGTCAACCATTAAGTATGAATTTAAATATCCAACTCACATTGCGACATCTCACTGGAGGTCTGGTTGCATTCAAACAGAGCTTCAAAAATTATAATGCCCAAAAAAAATTGAGTGCGTCTTATGTAAATTGAATATTATTTTATTTAAATTTACATGTGACTGTGGCGTAAGGAATACATGTAGAACCCAATTAGAATAAATAAAAATTATGTGATTGTATGATAGTTTCTTTTAAATTATCAGACAAATTTGACAATGACATGTTGCTATCCCTAACCAAAACCATTAAGTGGGTTGGAGCTTCGGTCTTTCCGTTGAGTCCTTGAGAAAAATTTTATATAAAGTTTTATAGTAAAATTTGTAAAACTTTTTATTAAAAATAAATTAATTAAAGTTAATAGATTAAAAGATGTTATCATATAAGTCAAGCGTCTAAATTTAAAAAAAAAAAAATTATATATTTATTGAAATAGATTTTTTAATAAAAATATTGAAAATTTTTTATTATTAAATAAATTTCGATCAAATTTAAATTATAAATAATATTTTTAATAATTTTTTATATATTATTAATTTTGATATTGAATTTCTTAGATATTATTAATCTTCATATTAAATTCTATCAATCTATCAACTTAAATTTTTATTAAATTAAAATTAAAAAAAAAACTTTATAAATTTCATCTAAACAATTTTATTAAATTTTTGTCCATGTTGCCCATTTATGATAATAAGTGGCTCCGAGACTTGGGCCATCGTTTTAGAGTTCTCAACCCATTTATATTTGATCCGAATATAATAGAAAATTAGGCCTCGTCCAACAACAAAAATCAAAGTGGTTTCGAGATTTGGGTCATCTTTTTTGCTTCTTGGCCCGTACCTCTAGGCCTATTAGCTACGGCCCATGTTTAAGTTTGTGATTATCAATCAACGGAAAGAGTCAATTTACTAAATCTTCGTGTATTTATATTATTTAAAATATTAAAATATATATTTATATTATATTTTATATAAAAATTATATATCGTAATTTATTTCGACAAAAATATAAAATATAGTTTCTTAATTGACATGTTTACTATTTATCCTTCTCGTACATGACCTCCATTTTCAACTTTAACAAATGTCATAGTCTTACCAAACAACAAGATGTCATGAAAATTCATTAGGCCACTGTTGAAATGAATAATAGTTTTGAATTATTGGCATTGCATGCTTATCCATCCTTATTGGAACACCAATTTTACGTAATAATGACATCAAGGTGAATGAAGTGAAATCTAATCCATTAGTTGATAACAAACACTTTGATTGCCAAATAAAATAAAAGAGATAACATTAAAAAGAAGAATGTTGTAACAAACCAAGAAAGAAGCAAGAGAGAGAAATATATATATTTATTGCATTTTGTAGTATCCATTTAACCTTGTTTTATTTTGTATGGTGGATAAAAAATTTGAAATATGCAAAATTAGGAAAAAAAATTTATTATGAATGTTAATCCTATTCATACTCAATAGAGAATCTAATTTTTTATTCGAAATAGAGATAAAAATGGGTATTATATTGTAAATATAATAATGAGATAGGTATAATTTTAAAATTTTATTGAATATGAGGATGGGCAAGGGTAATATAATATTTGTCCCTTACTTGTACGTTATATATATTTTTATATATTTAGTAAATAGGTTTTTTAATTAAATAGTATAGATTATTATTTTAAGTTAATTAGAATTAATATATTTTTATTGAAAAAAATATATTAATATATATTTATAAATAATTATCTAAATATACAAGATAAAAATTAAAAAATTAAATTTTTTTTTAAGCTACGGGTATGATGATTATCCATATTCATTAAATACCCATAGAGATGAAAATAGATATATATTAAAATATTCATTAAATATAAGTACGAAAATTAGTATAATATAAAATTTTAAAAATGAAAATGGCGTATGCTCTATGTATCCATACTTTCCATTAACATCCCTAATTTTTATTAGTGTCTTGGTTAGTAAAAAAAAAGTTAAAAAAATAATTTTCTTTTCATTCATTACTTGGCCAAAAGTTAAAAATAGTAATATTTTACCATTAAACTTTTTTATAATAATAATCTTTGTAATATAATATGAAAAAAATCTTAAATATAATGGAAATCTTGTAATATACAATATACAATCACATCCTTTCATTTTCTTTCCTATTTATTTAATTTGAAATGATTTATATTTGTGAATATGTGTTGAAATAGTCATTTTTCATATTTTCTTTTTTCTTAATTTTATTTCTTACCAAAAAGCACTCAATTAATTTTTTTTTCCACTTTTCACCCTCTCCTTACCCATTTCTTTCACTTTTTCACTTCATAATTAATTAATTAATTAGTTATAATAAAAGTAATGCACAATTTACATAAAAATTTACAAATTTTTAATATTTTTTCATTTTAGAAAAAAAACTTAAATATTGTTTGTCAAGCAAGAAAATATGAATAGGTTATTGAACAAAATGTTGAATACATAGTCAAAGCATTCACATATATAAAAGAAAAAAAAATCAAAATTAGACTTGTAAAACTTTCTCTCTCTAAACCTTATACTCTCTCTTTTATTACATTCTCTTTAATTTAATTTCAACGCCTTAAATTTGACACATTTTTCAATTTAGCCAGCAATTAAAACTATTTGTCCAATTATTTTATAGGTATATAATTTATTTTATTATTTTTTAAAAAATATTTAAATAAATAATTGTTTAAATTTTTAAATTATAATAAGATGTATTATATTTAATAATTTTAAAATAAATGTTATATATAGTATGTTTAAGGTTATCTCTGATCAATAATAAAATTTAAACCTAAAATTTTTCATCGAATAAATAATTTTAATCAATTGTATTAATTATTTGTTGATTAAATTTTTAAATTGTTCCAACATTTTTACGCTTTTATTATTTATTTATTTTTTACCAAAGGTTAGGATATCCTTGATGATGCCATGTTTGACCCGCTAAAAAGAAAAAGACAGACACAGACATTTCCAAAGTCGTAACTCTCATTGGAGGACACTGGGACCCTTAACAACTTATTTTCAGCCAATTGTATTCCTCCACGTCATATTTCAAATCAATCCCCAGATCTGCCTTTCATCACATCATCCACGCGTCCTCTATTGTAATATCATCAGTTCCCAGCAGTTATCACCTAATCCCACTCTCAGCCCGGCCCGTGCTCACACTCTATTTACATTATTCACGGCCTGGTTAATTAGTTGCTTTGCTTTTATTTTTAATTTCTCATGTAAACCAATATTATAATTTTAGATAACATTATATGTAATACTATTTTGGTCTCATTATACTTGTCCTTGTATTATTCTTTAAGTCAAATGAATTTAACTTTAATTTTTAATAAAATCATATAAGATTTTTTAAAATTTTAAAATATTAGTTTAATATAAAATTTTTAAATATAATAATTAATATTAAGTTCATTTAATCAAAAAATCAAACAAAGACAAATAAAGTGAGATTAAAATATATGATAAGAGAAATATTAATTGATCTATGTTGATATTCATTAAGATGATCTTAGTAAAAACAAATTTAAGAATAATCTTATTATTTTGTGAATGAGATTTTATTTTTTTAAATTGATGAGAATGGTGGATTAAATAAAAACCATTTTCTTAAACTATTTTGGTCTCAATAAAATAAGCAATGGTTATTAATAAAATTTATTTTTATTATTCAAACTAAATTAATCAACTTAAATAATAAATTACTGACACAGTTGTTTGGCAAAAAAAAAAAACAATACAGTTGAAACTGAGTCAGCTCTGGGGCATTCCAAAAATATTAAACGTTTGCGTTCACGCGCTTCATAGCAGGAAAAGTAGATGCGACTGTCAACTGAACTTACTCTTTTGTAACAAATGAAAAGAAGCTACGTGTTAAGATATTCTGCAACCTACCCACCAGATGGCATGAAGAACAAAATTTATGCCATCTCCCGAGGTACGGCCACGTGTGTCCGCCTTTTACGGAATTTCTGACACATCCTCATTTTTCATTGGCAACACGCCAAAACTAGCAACTTTTTTTCCTCTAGGGCCCATTGGGTTTCAACCAATCAAGGCTCGTCATTATTTCAAGTGTCGCCTAGGACACGTGGCGTCTTGTGCACTGGCCAGGATTGCTGCCGCTATGATTATCGCTTCAGCTCCGGTAAAGCCCCTTAGTAGAAAAAAATATACAAAACTAGAACACCGAGAAAATAAAACCCAAAGAAAATTTAAGACAAAAACGAAGAGAGAGCTATTGTTGGGGTTTTCGTTATTTTGAAGGATAAATGGAAGGGGAAGATCCTTGGAGCATGCTAAAATGCGCTGGTGGGGTACAAAATAAGACGATAACCAACAGGACAATGCTCAGATTCCGGCCGATTGCTCCCAAACCGGTGACCGGAGACTCAGTTTCCAGGGACTCTATGTTTAGTAACAAAAACTTGGTTGTTGCTAGCAAGAGAGCAAAAAGAAAATACGTTAGGGTTTGTAAGAAAAATAATATGAAGCGACGAATCTTGGATGAATCTAAAGAAAATAAAGATGGGAGAAGAGTTTTGTTACTCTACAGTTGATACCAGAGGAAGCTGATCTAGAGAAATCGATGGTTGGTGAAGGGTCATTAGGTGTTGTTGATGATCTCAATCCAACGGTAGGTAATAATTATTATTTTCAGGAACAGGAATCACCATCGATGTGCTTGAAGTTGAAGAAAGTGGTTGCAGATGACGTGGCGATGATGGGGTTGTCGGATCAGACGGCGTTGGTAACATCCCCCAGGAAGAGGACGACGGTGATGGAATCGTGGGTGAAGGTGGAGAGCGTGACGGACACTTGCATGGACGAAGGAGAGATGAGGAACTGTACAGACTTTGAGAAAATGAAGAATCTTGAGAAGGACACGTGTCCTGGGTTTGTATCAGATACGTTGAACCGGGTTTTCTGGGTGAACCAAGCCTTTAAAAACATGGTGGGCGTGGACGCTGAAGGGGTTGAAACCGCCATAGGCTTGGTGGTAAAAGACGGGTTCATGTTCCCACATGGTGCATTTTCATGCCGCGTAGGGTTACAGTACGGCGATGGAAAGGATAAGAGCAGGAAACACTCAACAATGGTTCCTTGCGATGTGTGGAAGATGAGCTGCGGTGGATTTGCGTGGAGGCTCGATGTCAAGGCTGCACTCAGTTTGGGACTCTAAAATGGAAAAAACCAATGAAATCATAAATTTCCATGTTTTTGCAGGTAATTTAAACTTTTTTGTTCTCGTAATACTTTGTAAAGAAAACAAGAATGCTAGTACAAAACAATGGATGCATATACAAAAAATAAATATGTAGGTTTGTTTTGTTTTGTTTGTGTATAGTTATAAATATTAGATTAGGAAGAGATTTATAATGTATTGTGAAAGGAAAAAATCTAACAAATTGTGACAACGTGGTAGGTTTTACACTACTAATTTTAATGTGGAATGAATATTTCAAAAGCGTGAAAAATATGAAAAATGGAAGATAATTAAATTAATGTAGTGATATAAAATTTTGATTTTTTAAAGTAAAATTTTAGTTTCGAGTTTTATAAATAAAAAAATAAATTTAAAAAAATTATTTTTTAATAAAATTTGAAATAATTACTAAAATAATTTTATACAAAAATAAAAAAGACAACTACGAATATTGAAAAGAAAGGTAAAATTAACCAATAATTATGTATTATATATTAATATTTAATATATAATTTTTTAAATAATAATTTATATATGATTTTTTTGTATAATTAACAAATCTATCGAAGGAAGATTGGTGATGCTGGAAACATGATGGTATACATAAGTAGTCTTGAATAAAATATTTTTAAATTACAAATAATAGTTATGTCCAACAACTTATAAATTCTTTTATTTTAGCCCGTCATAATAGTTATTAGCTATTAATGCTTCATTTAAATAATTAATGTTTTTAAACTAAAAACAAAACATAAGTGTAGTAAATATAATTTTAATAAACAAAAATATTAATTGTACCATTATAAAGTAGGTTACGTTAAGTTTAATTGGTATTAGATCCTAGACACTCGTGCCAAATGGCTTTTTTCACACAATTCCTCTAGGAAAGCCATTTAGTAATTTTTGTAGTAAAAAATTGTAGACAATGCACGTGGCATCAGCAGAAATCAAATTCCATAGAAAAGAAACACATGGAACTACTTCTTTGAAAATTGGATGACGTCAGAAATCTGTACTCATAGATCCACCGCTTTGTCGAATCCGCCACGCGTCCCTCGTGCTGTCGTTAAATCAGCTCTTCCACGCGCTAATTTGTGCGTTCCATCAGTCCCTAGTTTAGGTAATAATTTTATATTTTTATAAATTAATTGTGTTTTAAAATCAATTTAAAATTTGAGTTTATTGAATTGTTATTCTTGATTTTTAAGGTATTTAAGGAGTTATATTATCACATTGAAATTAAAATTTTATACGTATTTCATACTTAAATCAATGTACAACAATATTTGTTAAATATATTAAAATTTTTGCTAAGGGAGTTAGCTGTAAGGTAGTGTTCACGGGGGAAGTGGCGAGTGGAAGAATGTGAGATGTGAAACTAGAGAACCGAGGACGAAAGCTAATGAGCAAGGACCAAGTGTGCGCTTTCTCGAACCTCCCCCATTAAAAGCCTTTTGTGCTTTTTCCACTTCATTCGACAGTATAAAACTCTGTTCACAAACGTGTCCCTTCTCTTTCGGCAATGCTGAACACAAGCCTTCTTCTCATTGGTCCTCATCGGGGGCCCATCTCCAACGCTCAATCATACCAGATTCGTCCCCTTCACTTTTTCTGTGGGCCCCACTAAAATTTTAACCAATCACATCGCTCCACTGTTCTTTGTTCCATAGCCAGGTGTTACTTCGCTGTTAATTTGCCGCTATGATTATCGCTTCTCACAAACAAAACCTTCAAAAAAAATCCCGAAATTTAAGACTGAAGATTGAGATTTGAAGAGAGAAGGGACGAGAAGCTCTGATTTTTCTGGGGTGGTTAAAACGGCGGCGGAGAGACGAACGGCGGTGAGAAAAGGAGCATGGTTAGCTACAAAGGGGGTTCACGAGATAAGACTGTGATCAATGAGATAATGCTAAGATTCCGGCCGATAGCTCCAAAACCGGTCGCCGGAGAGTCAGGTTCCTGTGGGGTTCGGTTTGATGATAAAAACTGGTTGCTTTGTAAGCCAAGAGCTAAAAGAAAGTACGTTAGGGTTCGAAAGAATAATATCAAGAGAAAGAAAAGATCGTCATCAGATCATGGAGAGGCTTCAAAGAATCCTGAAAAGATTGTTACCTTGCAGTTATTACCAGACAAAACTGAAGCAAACGGATCTATTAACAATCAAAACAGTGCAGTTATGGAGGAAAATCAAGATCCACCTTCTTTATTTAACTTGAACTTCAACAACCGTTGGCGGGTTGATCGTATGGGAGGTTTCGAAGAACCTGATTGGACAGTGGTGATGAGTCAAAAGAGAAGCGTAACGGTGGTGGAGTCTTGGGTGACGGTGGAGTGCGTGGCAGACAGTTGCATGGAAGGAAGAGAGCTAGGGAGTACGGACGTGGAAAGAATGAAGAATCTGGAGGCTGACACGTGTCCAGGGTTTATATCAGATGGTTTGAATACGGTTTGGTGGGTTAACGGGGCTTACAAGAGGATGATGACGGCGGGGGAAGGGAATGACGACGGGCTGCTGTCACCACCACCGGAGATAATGGTTTGGCTCGTGATTAAAGAAGAGTTACCTAGGTTTTGCACTGCATTTTCATGCAAGGTAAGGTTGCAGTACACGTGGCAGAAGGAGAAGTGTTCGAGAATGTTGCCGTGTGATGTCTGGAAACTGGATGGTGACGGTGGCTTTGCATGGCGGCTCGACGTCGAGGCTGCTCTCAGTCTCGGCCGTTCAGGAAAATGAGGATCAAAGTAGTAAATAAAGAAAAAAATGAAGCAAAACAGAAGAAAAATCAGGTAACGTGGACTGTTCTTTTAACTAAAAAGAACGTACTAAAACTACTTGTTAAGTAGTAATAATAATTATAAAAATGAAGGCTAAAAAAATTTATGGTATCAAATGCAATTAGAACTGCGCACGGAACTTGAAAAGAAAGAAAATGGGGTACAGGATTTTTAAGAGCGTTTAAGGTATTAACCAAACAAAACCCATATTCTTAGGAGTCCTAGGATTTTGCTTTTTCTCATATTAGATCACTATTGGTATATATTGTTTTCATATTAAATATGTATAAAATATAAAAAATATCATATCATCTTTCATTTCTACACTCGTAACCCAAAATAAATACTTTCATATCTTTTTCGTATTATATCATTATATTATATTTATATTATATTATATTAATATAGTATTTAAAAAGTTTAAGATTTATCTTTTATATATATATATATATTTTGGTATTTTAAAATGTTCGTAAGGAATTGTTAGGTTGGCAAAGCAGGATTTGCTGGAAGCTGGTAGAAATAACTTTTCTTTTTATCTGCTACTTTTATTGGAACAGATGAGGTGGAGGATGCTGCTAGAAAGAATGAAAACTACCCAATATTCAAGATTCTGATAGAAAATTAGAGTACTGATGATGAGCTGTGTTGTTTTGTGTGGTGGTGTTCGTTTTTACCAGTTTGGTAGATGGGGAAATACTACAGTTGGTCTATTAGTTGAATTCCTCAATTTTGGTTGTGATATTGAGGAGTGGCTGGTTGAAATTGGGTTGTTGACTGAATGCCTTAAGCTCACTAGAAATCCTCTCCCTTTCTCTAGGGGAAATCATATTGAGTTTGAATTCCTGTTCAGCCATCCACACCCTAGACCTAGCTAGGATCCTAGATAATAAGTACTAAGTTTTAAGAAAACTATGTATTTCCATAAGCCAAATTAAACAAACTCGTGAACAGGAATTTCACAAATCACTGTGGATCTAAATATATATTCAAAGCTAACCAACTATGTGTCTGTCACAGACAGCTAATTATGCAAGAAAGTTGAAAACACACTCACACTGGGTAAAAGTACACTAATTTAAGTAGTACGTATAGTAAAAGTTTTCATAGTAAGCCATATATATATATATACATGGTGCAGTAAGTGTAATATGATACTTATATATTTTTATACACACATACATATGCAAACATACATACGTACATTATATATTCAGAACATACTTTAAGTTCATGGGTAAATAACATGATAAATGTGGGATATATATATGTGATGGTGCAATAAGTGTAATATGATACTTACATATTTATATATATACACATACATATACATACATACATACATACATACATACATACATACATACATACATACATTATAGATTCAGAACAGACTTTAAGTTGATGGCTAAATAACATAATAAATGTGGGTTCCATCCTAGAGAATTGTATGTGTATATATATATATGAATTGAAACACTTCAATGGAAACAAGGATGATTAGTCTTATATACTTATAAATGATGATGATTAAGAGAACAAGACCTTTAGGGTGTTTTTTGGGGCTTTTTAATGGGGTTTTGGCTGTTGTTGTTGAAGTTCATACTTTAGTGTTTAGTTCTATGATTGTTTTTGTATTTAAGGAGATTTAGGTAAGCAAGTTCATTTAGGACATTCTCTTTTTTGGGTTTCTTTAGAGAAGCTAAGAAATGATGATGCATATTGTTTGAGTTAAAGTATAATTAGCCTATAAGGTGTGGGATACATATAAGCATGATGTTGGACCACTGACAATTGGCATATTATATATATGATTAACGTAGGAAAATCTATAATTAGGAAAGATCACTTCAATATATATACTGATTGTGTCGAGGTCCGAATTGAGATGTAAAACTTTGAAATCATAAGAAAGTGAAAGAGAGCGGTTAAAAGTAAAGACAGATAGTGTTCTCTACACTTGTATTCTGATGCTCAAGTCAGAGATCGACTATAAAAAATCAGAAAGAAAGTAGAAGAAAGCAAGATGATTAGATAGTATTTGGATGGTCCTATTTATGAATGAAAGGTGAGAGGTCTGCAGTGTAAATTGATGATGTGATCGAGTTAACGTGGCATTGTATATGTTAGGTCAGCACGACATATTAGATCGACTCAAAAGTTGAAAATGTCTCTGATTGTTTATTAATAATCTCTAGTGAGGGAAAAAAAAGTATTTTACTCTTAGACCCAAAAATACCCTTCATATACATATGAGAATGCACACAAATAAGATCGCATGAATGCGTACATGCAAAAATCTATGACGTGTTTGGATAAGAATAATTGAACTTATTATTTACCCTTGCATACAGTAGTGTCATGCGAAATTCTCTATTTTCTAACAAATTTTCTTGATTTGTCAAGGTTTTTTTCTAATTGAGCCGTCGGCATCAAAGGATCAAAAAGAAAAGAACTAAACTGTGCAGCTTACTCCTGGAAGTGTATATATGCATGGTAAGTGTTGAACTCAGGGGTTATAAATAGTACTGAATAATTTCATTGCTATGTCAAGCTGTCATATAGATCAAGGTTTGAAGCTAGCCCAGATTTTTGATCGAAACATCAATCAACTTCACCAAAGCAAATAAGGTTCATGCACAATAATTTGTGTGAAAGAATGTTGAAGATGTTATGAGGCCTAGTTTGTATCAGCTAAGCCAAGTTTGTTATAGATCTGCTCAAGATGAACATGGATTGAGTTAATGCTATGTAGAAAAACTATGTAGCAATATGTATAAATCCAGATCAAGGCAGGTATGTGACTTTTAAGCATTTTTTTCTTCGATTTGGGAAAGTGGATTCGAACACTCGTGGGTACTTATTCGATGGAGTGATTTAAAAATCGATCATGCAATCACTTTGAAGAGATTATATCTAATAAATTTAATGTTTAAATCTCACGATAACAATCCTTTATGCTAGATATGAAGTTGCATATTAAGCTTCGTTTATTTCACAAAAAATAATTTTTGAAAATGTTTAAATTTTTGGAATTAAAAAATCTTTTTTATTATTTAGATGAGTTAATGAAAAATATTTTTTTTTTTTTTTTTTGTTTTTGAAAAAATCTGTATTTTTTAAAACAATATTAATATAACTATTAAAATATTAAAAGTATTTATTATTAAAGTATATTGAAAATATTTATTATCAAAATTATTAATATTAAAAAACAATTATATTTTAATAATAATATTTAGTATTAAAATATTATGTTAATATAAAAATACTTAAATAAATCTATTTGTTATTTATTAATATATTTATTAATATATTATATTAATATTATATTATTTATTAATATAAAATTATTTATTTGTTAGTATAATATTATTTATAAGTAAAATTTTGCTCAAAAGTATTGATTAATAATTTTACTCATAGATAAATTTTTTTCAAAAATTTTTTTTAAATTCGTAAGATAATTTTAAAAAAATGATTTTATTTTTCATTGATTAATAAATTATTTTTTATTGAGCAATCAATTTTTTATCAAATAAATATGTGAAAATATGAAAATTATTTTTTAAAAATTATTTTTCGTGAAACAATCGGAACATTAATCCATCATTTAATCTTCATAAAGAAACCCAAGTAATAACCTAAACCCATCTCTAATCTGGGTGAGTCACCATCATCGTCTTACCCATAAAGGCTACTAAATCTAAACCTAATATCCAATACTTAATCAATGAAAGATCTCACTTCTTTGTGTTAATTTGTTATGGAATTGATGGGTTCAAATTTTATGATTACTCCTCGGATTTACTTGGCATGTTAAAAAAATCCAACCATTATCCGGTGGACCAAGTTCAAGAATATTTTTCAACATCCCCATAACATAATTATGTTCTATGTTCTATCTCATCGTAGTCTTGTCATCCTCATTTTTTCCAATTATTATGGCTAATTTTTTAGACCTTTATGGAAAATTATTAAAAATTTGATCATTGATTAAAAAAAAGTTAGTAGCTAGCTATTAGACTGATTAAAAAAATTTGCACGATAAATCAATTGTTTTTAATTGAAAATGTAAATTTAATTAAGCTTGTGATACATGGAGCAAGAATTTGAGATACATAGGTAGATGTATATCACAGAAATTTGAATATTGGCAAATGATAATTTTTTTTTCACACATCAATAAAAAAAAATACAGTGTTTAATACATAATAAGTAAATTTATATTATCTTCCTTCAATCATCAATAGTTTTGAAATTATCTTTGTGAAATTTATTTTTTATTAGTTGAATTTGTATTCGTAGTTGGAAATTGGGCCTCGGTCAACGATAGTAACCTTATAAAGTTTTGAGCTCAAATGAGCCTGGCATAAATGGGATAAGAATAATAAATTATTTTATTATTGTTATTAATAAATGGTTGATTCAATCGATTAAATTTATTTTTTTCAATAAAAAATCTTGGGTTTGAGTCTTGTCGGTAGTCATTTGTTGAGATCATTTCGAATGCGCGACCTGTAACCACCTATCTTAAGTTATCAGGTACAGCACATTTTATCCTGATATGAAAGACTGAACAATCTATCTACTTCTGAATTTTTTCTTACCAAAAATTTTTTTTTTATTATTGTTGGATAGGCCTAATTTTCAAGGAATTAAAGGTTAAAAAATAAATCAATGAATAATTTGATAATTAAACTTATATAAAAAATAAAATGTATTATGCAATTTGTTTCTTTCTCCTTTCTACATTTTAGTAAGAATAAGGCAAAAAATTAGTAATAAAAAGAAATAATAATCATACATAACAATAGCAACAACTATTTTTACACAATAACGCTTAAGATTTAAGATTCAGTCAATATTAAATATTAAGAACTTTTAACTAATACTAATGAAAAAACATTGTTAATGTCGATAATTATATGATCTGTTAATAAATCGTAAATTTTAAGTTATATGATTTGTTAATAAATCATAAATTTTTAATTTCAATAATGGATGAAATTTGAGTAATAAAATACAATTTTAGTAATAAGTGTGTATTGATCTTAATGAACAATTCCCGCCAAAATTGTAAATTCCTTATCTGCCGTTTCTTATATTTGGGAAATTCTTAAGTATTTCCTAATGCTAACCTAAGATTTAAGATTCAGTCAATATTAAATATTAAGAACCTTTTAACTAGTACTGATGAAAAACAATATTAATGTCCACAATTATATAAACAGCTATATAATTCGTTAATAAATCGTAAAATTTTTAATTTCGTACATTTATATGATCTATTAATAAATCGTAGAATTTTTAATTTCAATAATTAAGGAAATTTAAGTAATTAAATACAATGTTAGCAATAAGTATACTAATAGTTATATGATCTATTAATAAATCATACAATTTTTAAGTTATATGATTTGTTAATAAGCCGTAGAATTTTTATTTCCAATAATCGAGGAAATTTATAAATCAAAGAATTTTTTATTTCAAGAATTGATGAAATTTAACCAATAAAATACAATTTTAGTAATAAGCGCCTATTGATCTTAATGAGCAATTCCAGCCAAAAATGTAAATTCCTTATCAACCAATTTCTTAGTTTGGAAAATTCTTAAGTATTTCCTAATGCTAACCTAATGAAAATCCTTATATATGCACTTTGGTTATTACCCATCTCTCTCATTCTAAAGCAAAAGAAAACTTCTAAACAGGTATTTTTAAAAAAAATATTTTTTGCAGTAACATGTGATTTTCCTCTTTGTTTTGATGTTTTATCACATTAAACATCTGTTTATTTGCTGAGATTTTTTTTTTTTTGATATTTTAACCTTTGTTTATTGTGGATTTTCTTGGATAGCAAACAGATTTTTGCTCAAATTATAGTTCTATAAAAAAGGGAGTTTGTTTACTTATTCCAAATTCTATGTTGAATCTTCTTTGCCTAGAAATATTTAAGGATTTTTTTACCTTAAAAAAATGTTTCATTTGCTTGTTTTTGTTTTTTACTTAAGACCAAATGTTTAGACATTTGATGTTTACCTTTAGTTTGTATAATAAAAAAAGATACCATTCTACTGTTATTGTTGATACAAGTAGGCTCTTATTTGCTTTTGAACATAATAATGGATGAATTGTGATTTATCTCTCTTTTTTGTGGAAAAAGAGGCATGGATTTGCAAAGGGTTGATGACACTGATTTCAGTGGGGGTAGCAGAAAAAGAATGGAGATTGAGGTTGGTAATTGCTCACGGTGGTCAGAACTCCCAGCTGATCTACTTGTGGTGATCCTGAAGCAGTTGGGGGTGATAGAATTCTTGTTATTTGCTTGTGTTTGTAAGTCATGGAGATTCGTTGCTATTGCATTGAAGCAAGAATTTATGGCATCTCAAAGCCCACTTGTTTTTCTCATGCCAACAAAAGCTAGAAAGTATGGCTACTTCTACAACATATTTGACAACGGACTTTACAAGGCAGGACTGCCTCACCTTGCAGGGAATAAATGTGTGGGATTCACTTGTGGGTACTTGGTCTTAAGGGACTCAGAAATGACAAAAAAGAAAGCAAATATATGGCTAGTGAATCCTTTTACAAGGCATGAACTCAAATTTCCAAGTCCACCTAGAAGGTATTGTCATGTCATTGTGGCTTCTTTGGCCAAGTCTGATCCAGAATTTGTAATTGTAGCTTTTTCCAGGTTGCACCCTTTCGTACAGTTTTGTACGTCTAGACATGGTAACTGGACTATCATTGAATATAATAAGGAGGATCCTCTGGTGATTGTAGATGTTACTGTCTTCAAGGGTAAGATATATATCTTGAGTAGAAATGGCCAAATCGGGACTTTAAATTTGAACTCTGATCATTTGGTGACATATCTGCAAGTGAGAAGTGTTTCTTGCCCCATAGATAATCTGCATTTAGTTGCTTCTCATGAAGAGCTCTATCTCGCTCGCTTTTATGCAAAAGCAGGTCCTATTAAGGTTCACAGGCTAGACTTTGTGAGGATGGAATGGGAGAAGGTGAAACTAAATGGTGAAATATTGTTCTTGGGTGACATGAAGTGTTGTGGCTTAAGCTTCCCAACCCCATCCAAGGCTCGCACTAGCCAGCCCTTGAATCGGGTCTGCTACCTGGAAGACGCACGCATTTTAGGTGGCTACAGGGCACGGTATGTTGCTGGAAGTACGAACGAGCATGTGCAGGTAACTAGAAAGGATGGGAAACCAAAGATCTTCATAAGTTCACCCGTATGGTATTTTCCTCATTTATCTACCAGTGTGGATTCTGTTGATGAGGATTAGTTGAAGTTGATGTTCTGAGGTTTGTACTAGTTTGTTCTTTTTTGTTCTAGGGGTTCTGAGGTTTGTACTAGTTTGTTCTTCCAAAGTTTGTTCTAGTTTGTTCTTGTTTGTTCTAGGGGTTCTGAGATTTGTACCAGTTTGTTCTTCTAAAGTTTGTTCTAGTTTGTTCTAGGGGTTAGTTAGTTCCTTTTGTACTCCTGATGTTGTACTTGGAACCTTTTTATTATTCAAAAGTGGTTGGTGAATAAAATTAAAAGAAAGCGCATGGCATGCTTGATTTGCATCAAAACCCTTAACGCAAGTAATGATATCAGTAGATAATTCGAGGCTCCAGGCACGAGGCTCCAGGCAATGCTATTTGGATTCAATCAAATCATGAATCAATTTATGAGACAATGCTAAGGAATCTGGAAAGTCTAATGGCTCTAGCCATGTATCCCTATCCTTCAACAGTGAATAACAACTCAAACCAAGTACCACCATGGACGTCAACAAGTGATTCACTGTTTCCCTAGAAGAAATAATTAAAGAACACCATGCCATGAATAGATGAAAATATGAGTGGGCGATTTTTGTTCAACGGATTCCATTCACAGATATATAATTGACAAATTTTAGTCCACACTGAGAACAGTGATCAAGTATCCAACCATAAGAGAAGCATTGAAAAAGAGATCTAAAAATATTCAAGTCTCAAAGCAAAAAATAATATACGTGTATGGAGTAGCTTATTTCTTCTCAACTAGGAAAAAAAAGACTCATCAGGTCACTCATTACCATTTGAGAAAAGAACCAACAACTGGTCATGGCAGAACCCAGATCATCCCAATATGCAATTATTGCTAAATTAAATCCCCAAAAAGCACATTACTATGCGAGAAACTTGGGGGAGACTAGTTGATAACATCAACTACCAGCCTGCGAGATTTGAAAATAGACCACTTCATGCGCCGGTAATAACCAGCTTGAAGTAATGCCAATGACAATACAAATATCCATTTAAAACCCATCTGCATTAGAAGACAGAAATATCAGAAATAAATTCGTTAAAACAAGGTCTATCGATGAAATAGTTGTTTATGATAATAATACCCACCATTTTCCTTTCTTCCATTTCTGGTTCTGCTGCCCATGACAAAAATGTCACCACATCTTTCCCCATCTACACCATAACAATATGGAAGAGTGAGCCATGTACCCCATCAAATATGCAAATACTTAGGAGGGTTCTCAAACCCATATGCAATATGAATGAAAAAGAAAGTAGAAACCAACCTGAGCTTCTGTTGCAGGGGTGCCATCTTCATACTCCAAAGCACCATCAATAAGCATTTTAGGCATGGCAATTGCTCCCCCAGGAAAGTAAGGATTATAATGTAACCCCTCTCGAATCTACAAAATTGGGGAATGATTACTTTAAGTATGGCCCAGCCAAAAATAATCAGTGGAGACTAAATATGTGTAGCCTGCTATGAACAACAAAGTGTACATGCATGTGCCACGCACACACATACAGAAGTTTCCAATAGAAAGAACTATGGACCAGGGGAAATCAATGGTAAGGATTCTGATTTATTTCTGTAACAAAAAGCCATAGAATTTAAAAAGTGCCATTTTCATAAGATAGAAACTCGTTGAATTGCAGCAGGTAAAACGAACCAAATTTGAAGAGATACAAAAAACTTCATCTCAACTTCAGGCCCACATTGTCCCCTTCCTTTGTATCCTCTCAATTGCCAAATATCTAAATATATCTGCCAACAGTATATCTCTACAATGATATAGAGTTCCAATATTGGATGTTTGTACAAAATGCCATGTTATGGAAGATAGTGTAAAGCAGAATTTACCAAAACGCCAGCAGGAGGGTCACGGTAACCAGTTAGAAGGGCAAACACATAATTCTGGCCACTATGACGAGCCTGAGAGAATAAAAATATGATATCTCAGAGATATATAATCAGTAACTTCAATGCGATCTAAAAAGCAAGGCAGGAATTACTTTGGTAATGAGACTTAGATCTGGAGGATAAGCTCCTCCATTAGCAAACCTAGCTGCTTGTTCATTTGCATATGGCTGAGGAAAACGGTCACTGAGTTTACCAGGACGAGTAAACATCTCACCCTCATCGTTAGGTCCATCAACCACCTCAATCTCAGCTGCCATAGCCTTTGTCTCCTCTTCTGTATATGCAACGCCCACCAAATCGCGGTATGATATTAGAGACATAGAGTGGCAGGATGCACACACTTGTTGGTAAACCTGGTGACCACGACGAATCCTGATAATGCAAAATTAATCTCATGTCATCAAAATTATAGTATCAAAAAATTAAAATATTTGCCAATGCTTAAACAAATATTACAATTGTATCAAAAGATTTAAATAAATTCATAAGGAAGAAATGCACCCTTGGTTTAGGTAGATGCATCCTATTCTAATTAGAAGGTGAGACATATAGAAGGTTTTCTCTTGTGCAGAGAATAGGTAGCATAGAAGCTAAAAGGAAGAAACCTTACTATTACGAAGACTTGATGGCCAAGGACTTAAGTGACAAGCTGACAGCTTACTGCCAGCTATATATACTGGAATAATTAACTTTCATATTTGGATCACCTTTTTTTTAAGTAAAGTTTATTCACTTTTGTGCACATAATAAAAAAGGAGAGGCATAAAACTCACGAAGCATGGTCATAGGAACTAAGGATACCCTTGTGAGGCCAAGGATAATTAGGAACATGTAACCCATGTTCAGCCTCATCAGCAGATGCTATTGTTGCAAAACCTAGCAAACCTGAAATTCCAGCTCCAAGGAGTGCAACTGTCCTCATACCAGTAGATCCCGCATCCTCATTAACTTTCCTTGACGTAAACCATGACAAAGCTGGAACCTGAGCAAAAATGCGTAACAAGTATTGGTATCTGGGAGAAAATTATCGTAGGCTAAATTATATCTATTATTTAATAGCAAACCTTAAACTGCACTGAATTGAATCCCATAGAATCACACAAAAGGCACCCTAACAGAAAAAAAATATCTTAGGCTAAATTATATCTATTATTTAGCAGCAAACCTTAAACTGCACTGAATTGAGTCCAATAGAATCAGACAAAAGGCAGCCTAACAGAAAGTTTTCATTATTATTCAGAGATGAAAATACACCACAGTGTAACAAAACTGGCCTTAAAAGTTAGAATTTATCTTCAGGAAGTGGAAAATCCATGTAGCTAAATATTTCTAGGTGACATAAGAAAATACAGTAAGAACCATGTAGACTACGAGTCCGTATAAGCTCATTCTAAAGGTAAGTATAACATTAATACCAAAACAGGAAAAGGAGAAAAGAATCTTACAGCAGACTGAGATTGAAGTTTCCTCCTTAAGACCTGGTGGATCAATCCTCCAGCCATTTCAGTTAATATTCCTGTAAAATCAGCTGAACCTTAACAAGCAAAACAATACTTATGAATAAAATAACAGAAAAACCAAGGAGCAGAAGAAATTAAACAGAGAATTCATATAATATATTCAACAACTCCAAAAAGGTTTTTTTTTTTAAGTCAAATATTCAGTAATTCTCCAAAAAGGAAAAAACTTTAGAGAGTTCAAACAATTGGGTACTCATAAAATCAATAGTCAGATTTTGGACTTTCAACATATAAAAGAAACCCAAATTAAAAAATTGCACAAAGAAGCCAAAAAGGTGAAGTGTGAGATAAAAAAGAGAAACTTGACAAAACCCTAACATGGAGGGATATGGGGGCAGATCCAAGAACTGTGGGGGAAAAATAATTAAAAAAATAAAACCCCGAGATGAGAGAGAGATAACTTACTTGAGACTGAGATTGAAGGTTGAATAGAAAGAGCTGGTGGTCAAAGGTACTGGCCGCTGCTTCAGAGGTCCAAAGGAACGAAAGGATAAAAAGAGAACACCTTACAAACTGTGATTGATTTAGTCGCGTGTCGACGAACAGTCAGTAGTTTCTGTGGTTTGGATGGCCTGGAAATCTGCTCGTGTCTACAGGTCGTTCGTCTCATTAATGTGAGATCCAACTTGCCAAAGGCAAAAGAACAGCCCAAAGAGAAAATGACCCAAGAAACAAAAAGACAGGCCCTGTTTTGCAGAGACAGCCCATTGCAACCACCTAATACCGACCAACCTTTGAACTTAAAACGACACGAAAAAATGCAAAAGCCACTAAAAACCATTGGCCTTTCAAGTTTCTTTCTTTCGTCCTTCAATCTTTCTCTTTTTGCTTTCTAATAAATAGACGAGAATCAGCAACACTTCTTTTTTCTACCTTGCTTGTCGACTTTGATAAACTGTCAAATGAACTAACTTGCAACATTGAAGCTTTCAGCCATGCTCCAGCAACTCAGTTATGGGAAGGCAGACTCCATGTGATGGGAGGCAGCAAAGAAAACCGCCACACACCAGGATTGGAGCACTGAAGTATAGCAGTAAAAGATTGCAAAGCATTGGAGAAAGAGCGGCCCACTGAGATCCCAATTCATCATGGAGGACCGCATAGGTCTCGCAGCTGCTCTTTCAGAGCTATTCCTTCAGGATTCTATTTAGTCCCTTCCCCACCCCACCTCTCTTTTTAACATGATCTGACCATCCAACTAAACATTTTACCAGGGCTCGTGTCGTGGCCAATGACCGACTGTTTGTATTTGGTTCTCAATAGGGAGATTTTATGGCAAAACCTGGATCACTTATCGTCCAACGTTTCACGCAGGCCGGAGGTATATTATAGCTAGTTAATGGATTAGTTTTTTATGTCACTTTGCAAGCCATGATGATCATCATTCAGACCTGTTTTCTAAACCTATCATACCAAGCATAAGTTCGCTTAGCTGCAGTGATGTTTACATGCTAGATGCTGAAATGAAGAAATTACAGGAGGTGCGACAGAAAAGCTCTTTCCCTTTCTCGGAATACAAATCTTAGGTAAAGTATTTACAAGCCGCGACAGCTCTAATATGGATCCAGTTAGAACCTAGGAGAAATTCAACATGGTAGAATTACACAAATGAAATAAATCAGGTTCAATTAAAAAACAATCATCCATACCTGCATTTACAAGGAATGGCCAAAATTCATTAGCAGCCAAAATTATCTATGCACTCGGTAGGTAAAAATTCTGATATTCTTTCTCTTCTTTACAAGACTACAGCTAGACACGTGGAGAAAATAAGAGAGAAAGAAGGTATGCGAGAAGGAAGAAGAAGAAGAAGAAGAACATGTGTTAATGTATGTTGAAGAACCAATCGCTAAAGGCACATCATGGCATCCAATAACTTGGAAAAGAGCAACCATGATTCTCTCTCTCTTAAAACCCTATTAGATCCAGCAACAAACTTCCCATATTCCATATTGTTCCTAAAGAGTTGCCAATTCTTAAATCTACCTGCAAAACATCCCAAGAAAAAGAAGGAAAAAAGCACCATTTAGAACATGATGTCAGAAAGTCGACGAAAAAGTATGAGCAATGGTAATAAAGAATTTGGACAACGGCCATTATTAAGTGACTTTCCTTGTTTCTCTAGCACCAAGATGGTTCTATACTTTTTTTAGTACATTCCAAGAGTCTAAAACTTCTCAAAGCATCCCCGCTTTCTAAAAATTATTTCTGGTTAAGTAGAATCAATTCTTAGTCACTAAGGGTTTCTAAAGGCTGGTAGAATCATGAATGGTCATTGGCCATATGGGGACAGAGGAAGCTGGTAGAATCAATTCTTAGTCACTAGGCTGGTGCCAAGTTACAACTGAGACAGTTAATTCTGAAGAAAGTTCATCCACATTAACACAAACATGAGTAACAATATAGAGTTAACAGTGCAAACGGAAGACAGAAGAGCAGGGACAGAAGGTGAGAGAAGATACCTTTCATTTCAACAAGGGGGCATAAGGTGCAGGGCAAGGAGACACAGTGTGATCAGGTAATTGGTCTATCAGATCATTTGTTGCCTGCAAACATGCATGGAGAATTTTCTTTTCCAACCTAACAAGCTGAGTGGCAACTCGTCTCCTGGGATTCAAGTTTGGATCTGACAACTAATGTAACAAAAATATGTTTATTAAAACTCACAGTCCATAAGTTCAGATCTAGTTGTCAACTTGGTCAAGAGAACCGACATTACCAATGACTCATCTTCATTCAGTGTCGTAGGGTAGATAGCCAGGCGTCTATTGAAATAATAAGCAAGCTGGTCTAGCACTGCTCGTTCCATACATGGGCTCACCTATTAGGGCAAGTATATTCCACCAGAATTTTAGAAAAAAAGAAAGAGTTCCACTCTGTTTAACTAAAATGATTTTCGAATTTTAATTGCCTATCACAGACGAAGCTAGAATCATTCTTTACAAAAGAAGAAAGGGCCACCGTTGAAAACTTTTTCTGAAAAACATGACCTACCTGAATCACATTAGTTTGGTCATCTTACTGAATTAGTTGGGATTTCAATTAGAGTATAACTCTCATAAATTTTATATTGCAATTAAAATTAAGCAAGTAACAATTTGCAATAAATGAACTCACCGGGCAGACTGGACCTTGAGAAGAAAGAACAGATTGCATTTCAGAGGGTTCTGAAACATATCCCAATCGCAAATATGGTAGCATATCCGAAACAGCTTCTTTTTCCTTCCCTGCATAAACCTGCAGCAGATACAAAGTAAGGATCAGAAGGGAATATCTTACAATATAATCCAATTAATACAAGGTTTGAGTTCATACATGAAAAACTTGTACTGATAGCTTTCCATTTCTTTGAACAACCAGTCTCTTATCCTGATATTGAGGATCCTCAGTATTCAAAGCTGCCTGAACAAACAGTAAATAAAGCTATCAACATGGTTGACTAAGAAAAACACAAAATCTCAATCTCATTGATACCACCAACTTATAAGTCATACCATATCCCATCACTTTAATAAACCTTTTTTTCAACACATATAAGATATTTAAGCAAGGAAGTATAGATGTCCATTCATTCACTAAGGCGCGTAAACTTGATTTACAAAGAAAACCATGAAATTGCATATACAAGTTGGAAAATCAAGATTTTACCTCAACAACCAGGCGATCATAAGAACTATCATTATCAACAAAACCATAGTTTATAAGCAGTTTCGAATTAGGCTGTGGTCCACACCTAAAAACACAAGAAATTTACCATTTTCAAATTTTGTGCTTAGAGATACAAATGCAGCAATAATTAGAAGGCAAAGGTTTCGATTCTAAAGCAAGACTGAAAGATAAATCAACATTACAGACAATAAATAAGGCATTATATTTATACCAGACAACAATGGGTTCCCCAGCCTTATATGGGCGATCAACCACTAGTTCAACAGAACCACCAATGGCACTTAACATTGCCTTGCAATTGCTACTGTAGGCTAGCAATGGGGGCCCAAGAGGAACCAATGCAAATCTTCGAGCCAAAGGTACTTTCTGAGTAAAATCAAGTTTCAGTTTGTCATTCAAACATAATGTTTCAAAAATTTCAGGAAAGGAGAAAAAGATGAGAGAGTTTTAGTATATGCAATGCTATCTGGAAGGTTTATAGCCAAACAAGTTTTCTAAATTTTATAAAACAAAAGACATAAAGAATATCGCCATCTAGAATGTCACTCGAGTCCTCAAAGCTTGATAGGGAAAACTGGAAAAGGTTATCAACAGGTAAAGAGAAAACCTGTAAATGCACCACACAAGACTGAACAGCAACAAAAGCTTGTTTGAAAATCTCAAATGGAAAGACCTCAGTAGGTATATCATAGGGATATTGCTGCATTGCAAAGAAATACGAAACATTTATGATCACACTCTAAGCTTCAGAAAGGAAAATAAAAAATATATAAATATGAAAGACAATACCTGAAAGAGAGACCCAGCCATAAACCAGACAGTATCAAGCTCATTATACTCTCTTTTTATTCCTTCAGCCCTTTCAAGAACTTCAGCCTAACTTTTGAACAACAGAATTCAGTTATGAAACTCAATGAACTACAAAACAGTAAATCAGGAATAAAAAAGGGAAAGGGGATAAACAGACACTTGTGTTGCTATTGCTACCTTAGTTGGGCTACCTGTTAGGTAAGCCAATTCATCTTTTGACCATAAAAGTGGAGATTCCACAGCCAGCTGGCCCCTTCCTCGTTGTCGATCAAGCTCTCTAATATATGGATACCAGAATGATTCCTTTCCTTGCTTCTTCTCATACATTAAGTACAAAGCTAAGCATGCCAATTCAGACAACTTGTTTGTTGTCAAAAGTTCCGCTGTATAAAAGACCAGGCAAGTAACATAATTACACAACCAAATCAAGTTAAAAAATGAAATCTGACAGCAGCTTCTTTTTCCCCCTTTTTCCACTCAATTTAAATCCTATCATTAGATACAAACATACAGGTATAGATGCTCCATAAGTACTGCAAAGAAATGTAATCCCACTCTACATTGCTTATCTTGTCCTTTAATCACTCATCATATACCACAATGCTATAAACAGTGTAGCTGGACAAACGGAACTCTACAATTTCTAGTTTTGCAAGTGAGAAATATACATGGCAGACTAGGGAAAAGTACAAGGAAACAGTTGTAGCAACGGTCTAAACTACCATCCAAGTTCATAATCACCTTTACAAATTGAGAGAAAAATTACCAATGTATATCATCTTCAGACAAAAATCCCATATGAATCAAGTTTCCACTATTGAAAAGAACATCCATTGCTATATAAAATCTTCCACACATTATATAGTGCACCTTACCAACAGTCTCGTTTCCCAGCACTCTCTCAAGCGTTACAACCAATGAATTCGGCACCGAAAAGGCCACATCACCCGCCTAGAAAACCAAGAACACAGAATCAAAAAAGAAGAAAAAAGCGCAACTTTAACACAACCCCAGAATAGAAAACGCGAATATTACGAAATCCCATTAAAAAACCAGACAAAACCAAAACCAAAACTTTAAGCCATTTTATTTACCTGAAGATCCTCACTGGCAGCGATATAATGTATAGGCCTATGTTTCTCATCATGCGAAGGCCTCTCTTTCAGCACAACTTTACAAGAAGGCAAGCCGTTTTTGTGCATCCAACATTTCAAGTCCCCGAATTCATCATCTTTCTTGCTGCTAAGTTTCTTTCCTGAATCAGCCACATGGGTATCAGAAGCCGAAGCCAGAAAAAGATTGTTCTTTTTTCTAGGAAAGATTCTGGGGTTAGGGTTCTTGGAGAATGGAAGTGAAAGATGAGGTAAAGTAACAAAATTGAATTTGTTATGCAAACAAGCGACACCCATTGATGAAGTCGCCTGAAGGAACTTGAGAGTCAAAAAGACGAGGACTTCTTTAAGATATTAGTTTTGGCTTGGGGGAAGGAAGGGAAGGGATAAGAGACGAGTGGGGTCCGAGGAATAATTGGATCGGATTAAGATTGGAGAGAAACAAAAATCTTTGGTGTGTGGACCAGAAGACGGTGATCAAACTCAAACTATGGAGAAACTATATGGCATTTGATCTTCAATTCTTGATTTTTTTCAAGTAGACCATGTTTCTAAAGTTGGCAATTGGCACCTTTTTTTTTTTTTTGTTTATTATACTCAATGATGTCCAAAACATATTAATATACCATTTATTTTATATAATGTAAATGTATATAATATATGATAAATATAATATAATTTTTATGTAATAATATAAATTATGTATTTTTTTTAATAATTAAAATTAAATAAATATATTAAATCGATCAACTTAATTGGGTTTTAATTATTTTAATTTTATTGGATTCGAACCATTATTTAAAATAAAATTATTTAATTTAATTTTTAGATTTTTAAAATCGAATAGATTGAAATGTTCTTTACTGCCCACTTCTAATCATTTCATGGAACTTTTTCTTGGAAAATTGTATTGGTGTGGGATGAGACATGACTTGAGAGTGGGTGGGAATAGGGACGGCAATTCGATTCGATTTTGATGAGTTCGACTCGACCTGATCCAGGTCGATTTTTTTTTTTTTGAAATTAAGATTTTGAGTCGGATATCGGTGAATTCAAGTTTTAAGTAAACTTAACTTGATTGGATTCTATATTATATAAAAATTTATTTTTTAATTAATTATTTAATTTTTTATTTATATATATTTATATAATGATATTTTTAAATATTTATATTTAAAATAATATTTTATATTTTAAAAAAATAATATTTTATTAATTTCGAATCGAATCGAGTATAATTTATATAATATCGGATTCGAATATAAAAAAATAAAAAAATTTTAAATAAAATTAAATAAAAATTTAATAACAGATAAAATTAAATCAAATTCGAAATAAATAAAATCCGTCTCAAACTCGATCCGATATCAACCCTAGATGAGAAGGGAAGTGGCAATTGACAAAAAGTGTGCTGCTGGAAGTCTGAATAGATTTGGTAATTTGTGTAATTATGTTGAATAAAAAATAAATTTTATATATTTATATTATATTATATTATATAAAAATTATATAATATAATTTATATTATATATTATATATAATTATTATTAAAATTTTAAATTATATTATTTTTGTTCTATTTATATAATGTATCGCGTTGAAATGAGCGTACAACAAAAGAATTTATCCAAAAAATATATATATTTAGGCTCGAGGGAAAGTATGAAACCCAATAATGATTTAGGCCAAACAGGCTCAGAAATTACAAAATCTGAAACCTTGAATCCTTGATCCATGACTGGATCAAAGTTTGGGCCCTCTTTTTTACACAAAATCCAGCTGGACGATATCTAAATTCCAAAATTGTCATTTTCATTTAGCCTGTACCAAATGCGTTGAATTTTAGATGAATTATTGTTCGTAGGCAGGGTAGCATCTTAATGAAGATTTGAAAGATCATTGTGTTGTCATATCTGTCAATCGAATGATTTCCAAGCTGAAAACCAAACTCATAAAACTTGAAGCAGAATTCTTCAGACAAGAAATCTGAGCTTTCAAAAAATGGATCAAAAACACCCAACAATGCAACCCCCAAAATGGCTTCAATTTCAAAGACAAAAAACTTTCCACAGCTTAAGGCCAGCCCATTAAAACTTCCTCCTGAACAACTTCCTTCGACGGTGACTGCCCATTCTCTCTCTCTCCAAGCCACCTCTCCTTGGCCTGACTCGGTTGCTCTCATCGACTCAGCTACCGGCCAAAAAATCACCTACCCCGAGTTAATTCACATGATAAACTCACTTGCTTTTTATCTCAAAACTGTTATCAAACTATCCAAAGGAGACACAGCTTTTGTTCTCTCGACAAACTCAGTTCAAGTTCACATTCTTTACTTAGCTCTGCTTTCCATCGGGGTCATAGTTTCACCCGCCAACCCACTCAATACTGTGTCAGAAATCTCCAGACAAATCGAGTTATCAAATCCAGTGATCGCTTTTGCATTGAGCTCAACTATCCACAAGCTCCCCAAGCTTCGTTATGGGATAATTCTCATTGACTCCCCCGAGTTTAACTCAGCCATGCAAAAGAAACCAAGGTTTAATGATCAGGATATCGACCGAGTTGAAGTGAATCAATCCAACTTAGCTGCCATCATGTACTCTTCAGGAACAACAGGAAAAGTCAAAGCAGTAATGTTGACTCACCGGAATTTAATCTCAGTAATTACCGGCTATTACTCTGTTAAAGAAGTAAATAAAGCAGCGTCGGTTGTGCTTCATACCATGCCGCTTTTTCATGTGTTTGGGTTTTTTTATTTTATAAAATCTGTTGCATTAAGTGAAACGTTGGTAGTGATGGGTCGTTTCGATATTGAGAAAACGGTGAAGGCGGTGGAGTATTTTAGGGTGCAGCGGTTGGCGACGGCTCCGCCAGTGGTGGTGGCAATGCTTAAGGGCGGGGTGACGGAGGGTTTTGATATGAGTTCGTTGGAATGGGTCGGTTGTGGTGGTGCTCCGCTTGGTGAAGATGTGATCGCCGCGTTTACAGAGAAGTTTCCAAACGTCCTTCTTACTCAGGTACGGGAGAAAAAAAATCATCGTTAGTATAAATCTTTGTTAATATGCTTGTTTAGTAGAGTCAGTGGATGTGGGAGCATACGCCAAATCTGTTGCCATTGTATTTACATTTTTAACTTTTGCATGCTATGTAGGGATACATCGTTACTCGTAAATTACTTTGATTTGATTTAAATAAAAATTAATTTTGGTTTGATTATATTCTGAGTCTAGTCAAAGTCGAGTCAAGCGAGTTGACTTTAAACATCTATTTTGAATTGTTCGGGTAGAGATTTAAATTGCAATAGCGGTCATATTTTCGATTATATTTTATTTGTTATAGTTGCAAATATAACAAAGATTTTTATGGTTATTATGGTTATCACAGTCATGAATTTTTTTAAATTTTACTTAATTTACTATAAAATATAATAATTTTAATTATTAATCATATATTTTATGATTTTTAAAGTAATTTATATTATATCATATGGTTTATTTATGTAAAAAAAATATTTATAATAAAATATTTATATTTAAAAAATTATTTATATGATAATTAAAAAATAATAAAAGATAAATAAACATGTGAAAAATAAATAATTATAACTAATGATATATTTAATTATTTAATTACCATACTCATCAAATTATTATCAAACTATATTATGCATAAATCAAATAGTAAGTGATTAGATATCCATAAATTAAGAGCATTACTATTTATGGGTCAAGATAATTGTTTTTTATGGACTTACAATAAATCAAACTTGATAGCCTCCATGTTGTGAGCAATTTTCAACAATAATAACATCAAGTTTACTTTCTCTATCTCTTGATTAAATTGCACTAACTCACAAAACTTCTCATTCCTCACCTCGCATTCAATAATTTGTTCTCCAAAACTTCATCTTCATCTTCATCTCTCACTTTTTTTTTTTCTAGTGTGTGCTATCTGCTCGTCTCCATCAATCTCAAGTCTCACTTTCATCTGTTGTCTTTCATTTTAAGTCTAAGTAACTCCTGCTCCCTTTTATCGATGTATCATAGCTCAATCCAATCCCAAACACATAAAATCACGGTAATTTTGGAAATTAAGAAAAAAACGTAATTTAAGTGTTGAATTAATTACTTTCCTTAAATTACATATACTTAATTTTGATTGAAGTTGAATTTAAGAGAATTGATATTTTTGAAGTTTAGTTTTGTAGGTTTTTTTTTTTTTGAATTTGTAAATTGATGTTTATTTTTTTCTTGTTTTTTTTATTTTAAGTTTTTTTAAATAGAATCAAATGAAATTTTTTTTTTTTGAATTTTTGAATGAAAAACGAAAGAGCGGGCAATAGCGGATTGTTATTGCCACTATTCAACGTTGCGCCACAATTCGCAATCACAAATGAGATTCAAATTTTTTCATGTTTTTTCTTTAATAACGGTAGCAAATGGTGGCTATGACCGTGAAATAACGGCCGTTATTACCGTTATCTTACCTCTATTTAAATCTTTGAGTTCAGGAGCTTAATTTATTTTTAAATTTTAATATGTTTTTATTATTTTACTATTATATTAATTCGAATATAAACTCGAGTTTAGATATATAATCAAGTTTGAAATCGAGTCTGAGAATTGAACTTATTTTTAAATTTAAACAAAAGTAATTGAACAAATAACTCAATTGTTTTCTCAGATCGAACTCATAATTGAAATTTAAAACTCAATTAAATCCAAGTTGAATTTCAAGTGACGAGCTTCAAACTCAAGCTTGAACTCGAGCTTTTCATTGCATTGACTCGGCTCAATTATACTCTTACTGCCATGTAGCCTTAGTTCCACATTCTATCTTTGTAGTTAATTGGACGATGATGCAACTCAGTTGCGATATTGCGAAGGCTTGACTTCACTTATTCTGCATTTCCTATATAAGGGTTATGATTGACTGAATCGGGAGGGGAGTTTTGGATTTGTTGGTCGAGAGGCAGTCAGCGGTGGGGCTCAGTGGGGGAACTGGCAGCTTATTGTGAAGCAAAAATTGTAGAACCTTAAAACTGTGAAGCCTTGCCTCCATGCAAACAAGGGGAGCTTTGGCTCAAAGGACCCTGTATAATGAAAGGTCAAAAAAATGAAATATCAATCATTCTATTAATATTGTTGCTTTAGATAATTTTTGCTGATTTTCAAGACAAATTGAACTTGCAGGATATGCTGCTGACCCTGAAGCAACTTCAGCAACTTTGGTATCAGATGGGTGGTTAAGAACCGGAGATCTCTGTTATATTGATGAAGAGGGCTTTATGTTTGTGGTGGACAGGCTTAAGGAACTGATTAAATACAAGGGTTATCAGGTAATATCTCAAGATCAGCAGCAGCTGATGATCGATGTATTGATGGATTTTCTTGTGCAGGTCGCTCCTGTAGAACTGGAACAATTGCTTCAGTCCCACCCTCAGATATCTGATGCTGCAGTGATACCGTAATTTCCATAGCTTCCAGAGTCATCACCTTTTTCCCTTGAAAATTTTTTAATATAAAACTAAAGCAGCTGGTGATTTGGCTTTGGTAGATACCCAGATGAAGAAGCTGGCGA